GGAACCAGCTCTTCACAAATATTTAAGCGCGCGAGATAAAGTCAAAACGTTTTTGCACGCGACTTACACAATACTTCTACTGTCTTTTCGGCCGATTCATTGACTGCATTCCACGCTTTGCAAGTGTAGTTTCCAGCATCATTCAGCGTTATTCCACCTACACGAAGATAAAGTCGACTGCTGACATTCTGAAGTTTCTCTGTTATGTTGTTCCACGTCACTTGCACAACTTGCGAAGTGAACTTGGGAAAAACCTTGTCGACCGCCTGAACTGCTTCACCATTGTAAAACCATCGGACTGTCGGTTGAGGTTGGCCGCTACCGTGACACACGATGGTCTGATTGGCTTCACCTTCGACAAAGGATGTTATCTGTCGGCTATTGACATAAACTTGAACAGGCTCTGAAAGAAACTTTCCTGTTAGATTTGATTAAGTTCGGAGAGTGAGATAGGGCTGCTATATCAAGAAGATAATTACTGAAAAGGAGATATAATTTAGGACATCTGTAGAGTCCAGATTTTTTAATATTTTCCTTTATATGTATTTTGGGAAGCGATCATTTTTCGTTGTTTGAATGTTCATTTACATCTCAAAGGATAGGATCAGGAAATGACTATATGAGCTTGCATTCATTGAATTATCAAGGAGTCGTTTTGTCCAAATTTCATATTTGATACTATTTTTGATGTTATGCATTGTGTCATATTCTTGTTATAATAGTATTCTAGAATCTTGGAATACATTTATACATTTGTTATTTATACATTTTATTTGAACGATTACAATGCCACAATGCATTGTTGCTATGAATATTCATTATAGTTGCGCTTGAAAATTCTAAACATTTAAAACTTTATATTGAGTTTTCTGAAATCTCAAAAGTTCATTTGAAAGTCGATTTTGGAATACAGTCAGTATAAGACTTCGTCTGAGCTCAATTCTTCGTTTTCTCTATACGTCAAAGCTGCCATCTTGGCGGAACTTCAAGAAAGGATTTTCTTCAACATGGACGCCGGTCTTTTTTTGATTCTCATGGTAATGGTTGAAAACGTTTATACTTTTTATCGAGGGATTTGAATTACAGTAGGGAAAATTGGGTTTAATAATTACCAAGCTCTTTAGTAGTAACGTGTAGTGTAGCCCACAATCCTTTTCCCACAGAGCTGACAGCACGCAGTTTTATAGTATATGTTGTATTATGAACTAGACCATCTAGTTCAATGTGGCGTTGGTAAACAGGCAAACTTGAATTTCTATGAACGTTATTCCCGATGTAATGCAGGTCATAATATATTATAGGTCCTTCTCTTACAATGATAGCAGGAGAATCCCAGGATAGGTTAATTGAATTGTAACGCACGCTAGTAGCCCTAAATTGCTTTGGTACACCGGGGATATCTAAAAGATAGGCAAGATAAAAATGTTATTAGAAACACAAAGTTTTGGTTTTAAATTTCATAAGAATAGCCAGAAGCTAAAAATTGGAAACATTGTTCTTAAAAAAGACTGTAACAAACTAGATATCTTGAAAGGCGCCTTATTGTAAGCACTTGATTAGAGGAACTGTAGTTGAAAGAAAATCTACTATGAGTTAATCTCATACCCATTTCTGTGAACAAATCATAATCTTTTGACGACGGCCAACCAACAATGTTACTGTGATAATAAGCTTCACATGTGATTGTAATCCAGCAAGATGCTGCACGTGACATAGGATCAATTTGGATACACTTCCATGGAAAAACATTTCCAACTGGGAATCGAACCTTTAAAACCGATGTTGCGAATCCATTATTGCAGGAAGAGCTTGAGGATGACGTCATATCTGTCTTGTTTTGCTGCCATGTGATAGTTACGTGTGAAAGAGCAAACACTGAGCATGTGACATTGACAGATGCACCAGTCGCAGCAGTGAGGTTTCCATTTGAAGTTATTGAAAAGATGTAAGGTGCGACTACTGCAATTAGGAGAAAATTATTAGAATTTGAGTGTCTTTTTAAAAAAAGTTCAGAAAGAATAACATGAGATTCCTTAACAGCCACCCGCGCTACCTGTCGAGCGTGCCTTTTCATCAAAGATGTGAAATTCCCTAACGTATATATAATACTGTGGTGATGTATAAAAGTAGTCAACTTCAACCCTTAGTTAATCAAGGTAACATTTTAACATTGATTCTATTATACACTAAGGATAGACGACGTACGCAGTCTGAAGGCTCGGTTATGAAAAATTATCATGAATGAAGATATTAATTATTTTCTTGAATGTAAATAAAATATAATAACCAAAGTCGCTTTCATTGACTTATTCTGGCTACATTCAATAATTTTAACTGTTCATCATCTAGATGCATACAATCATGACTCACTAATCCAGGATTTTTATCTGATATATGTATAACTTGTATTCTTGACCTCGTGTGTCTTTATTTGTGTCTCTTTTTTTTTCAATTATTTCAATTATACCTTGTTTGCAACCATACACGTCAATCCTTAAGCAAACCCCAGAATTCCATAAGTTGGGTAGTACACGTACATATCGGGCACCAACAGGAGTTTGTAGCCAATGACTCACTGGTGTATCGCCATTTTTGTTACCTTGGAACCCCTATTAAATCGGGGGAGAGTTGTGTCAGTTTAATTTCTATCGATATCCCTATTCTTGTTGGTATATTTTCGTTTCAGTTTTATACCCATCTGTTTTATTTATATTTTTCCTTAGCATTTCATTGCCTACAAGTTATTTTCATTAGGCATCTTGTAAATATCACCTGTATCTTCAGCCATTTTTTTGTTGTAAAGCCAAATCCTATATCGTAATTTGTGACCCATTTAGACGATTGTCCTTGGGTTGTTATTCCAGTCACAGTGACTGGTAACTTGAAATCAACCTGTAAGAACTGGTTGACAGTAGTCGCTGCGCACCATGATGACAAGCCATACAAGCGACCACTAGACGCTGAATGACTTGAGTCAGACTGGGATGAGGAGGAAAGCTGGTTAATAGGATCAATAATCTTATATCGCTCCAGTCCAAGGGACGACCTGCATTCTGATTAAAATCAAACAAAGCAAAAGTATTCATGCGACACCTAGGGTTAGTTCACTACTATTGCGAACAATTCAAATTCTGATTGTTTCCAAATGATAACCGAACAACCGAACAACTAAAGCAATGATTGGAACAATCTGCGTACAATTTTCAACTTGAGTACGATGTACTCCAAGTAAGTCAAGTAAATTTCCCCGAAAATTGTCTCTTAGACCAGCTTTAGACATGTTTTGAGACGTTATATTTCCTCGGTTATTTCTTGGTCCGCCATTTTGTGAGCCTGAGATTTTTTTCAGCGGATTTTGGGAGCCTGCGATTTTTTTTTCAGCGGCTATCTTTAAAAAGGTTAACAGGAAAATGACCAATCTCGTACCCAGAGCCCACACTTTTGCCATCCAGCGGATGTMAATGCGTGAGAGACTCTGGAGGAAACAATTTTTTCTCGATTCGTGATTGGTTGAAAATGACGTAATTTTTGTATGGAAAAGGTAGGTGACGCATTTTTGTTGGTAATTTTTTCGCTAAGGATCAAAGAAAAACTCTAGGGTTCAATCGGGCTTTAACTAAGGTGATTCTTAATTCAGTAATGACACTAAAATCGCCATACTATACATTGCTATATTTTTGGTAAACTCGAGATTTGTGTCGATAATTAGCCGTGGCCTAATTATTATGCATAAATTTGAATTTGCCGCTTTCTCTAAGCTCCGCCTCTAGGGAATCTCTAGGGAATAAAGCTAGATATCCAAAAGATTGGCGAGTTTATAAAGAATAGAAGCAATAAAACCGATTTTTTTCGAATCAAGTAAGAGATTAAAATGGTTTCAGCTTGTCCCTACATTTTACTCTTCCGGCGCGTCCAATTATTTAGTAATAAACAATATAATCAACCTTGACCAAGACAACCACCAATGTAATTATGTAATTTTGTCAGTTAACATGTTACCATACACCAAAACCATCCAAAACAAGAACCGGGGAAAAATGAAAAAAAGGCAACTCATATTCCAAGCAATTGTATATAAACACCTGCATTTAGAAGCTAAGGGACATTTGCCTCTGTGTTAACTTCCCATTTATTCATTTATGAATTTAGTACTCGATTTTCCATTCAATTGACAACAGTTCATTACCTTGTCTTAAACCAAAGAATTCAACCCTTAGCTGTTTCCACCGTTCATAGTCGACAGGATAAATCCGGGCAAATTTTGCAGTCGGGCAACCGGATATTTTTCGTTTGACCACTGTTCCCTTGTCCGTATTGCCAATAAATATCTAGAAAAGTAAGCCAAAATGAAATCTACTGCCTATAATACATCCAGCGTAGCCCTGTTTTCAAGAAGCTCATTGCCAAAGAGTGTCTGAACTCTAGCATTGCTACAGCAGATTTTAGTTGAAATATGTATGTACTGTTTAGTACCTTGACTATGTTGTTTTCTTTATACATGTTCCACGACGAACCATCCGTTGATAAACTTAATTTGTACGATTTACACCATGCATTAGCCCCCGTGGCTCCCTGAGTTGCGATAGCACATAAAACATATACATCCCCAAGATCTACTTGCAAATAATCGTTAGGGTCAGTGGCTGTCTGCGGAGCCCATGCGTATTGATTGTACAAACGAGCAAAGGAAAACGCGAGATGCTCGTGTGGATAAACAGTCGATCCTCCAAATCTATGATCCGGTACTCCGCCTAATGCACGAACTCCAATCGCTGATTCCTCGCAAGCTTTAAACATAAAAAAACATTGATCAAGATATATGTTCTTGAGATTTCAAGTTTGAGTAATAGAATCGAACCGGAGGATCAAACAATGGATTTTTGTTTCCAAGCAAAGAAAATCTTTTACATTGTGTCCTGGCATTTTTAAAGCAAATTGAAAATACAAAAAGATGTGCGTGATTCCGAGAAGGGTCGATCTTTGTCTTTATATTCCACATATCTACCTGTTTGCTTTGTTCCATATACTTCTGATCTTATACATGCGGTATTATGGTAGTCTTTTGATAGAAATCTTAAATATCGCAGAACAAACGATTCACGAAGTAGGTGCTTTGTGATGCTGTTTCTATTGGTATTTCCTGCAAAAATCTATAAAACATTGTAGTTATTCTTTTATGATATATGTTGTTGATTTAACACTTATTTACTGGAACCGAGGGAAACAGTATGTTTTGTGGTCCCGAGATCGCTGATGTTTCCCGAAGCGCAGGTTTCCAGTAAATAAGTGCTTTATTGTCATATCAAGTGTCAAAGAGAGCAAAAAAAGTAAATAAATGAAGTGTTTTTATCAAAGATATTGATAAAATGTTTTTGATAAAATAGTATTCTCCGCTGGTGGACAGTTGCCGGGAACCAGTAAAATTTTGTGACTTTCACGTGGTACACTCTCGACCAATAAGATACTAGGAAAAGTGAACTTTGACACTTGATATATAATAATGCTAATTATTAATGTTTGCAGGATTTTTTTCAAAAACGAAAAATCGTCATCTTTGATTTAAAACTAATCAAACTTTTTAAAAAAGGTACCATTTATAAGAGAAAAGATGCGATCGAAAAGGTTTCTTGATGCATGTTTGCATATGCAGGCCTTTGACCCCATTCAATGTTCTTATGAAGTAAGATAAATGGTATTAACATCGTTACCTTTCAAAATGAATAATGATTAAATATAGCATTTGATCTTTGTCCCGTCCATTTTGATGTGAAATCAATGAAACTTACAAATTGAACTCCAGCCACGAGATTTTAGGCTTCTAACCTGTGAACGCTTACCAGATTTCTACTGATGAAATCTTACAGTGTAAATAAGTGGAGTTTTGGCTCTTTTCTATATATGATTTAAATTTACTTAGCTTCGCGAAGATACCGATTTTATCTTTGTTTGGAAAGAATCTCTCAAGAATGAGCGTAGAGAAATCCATCACAACTCTGAGCAAAATACAAATATTGTCTAGCTTTTCATGAACCTCGATTATCTCATAATGCAAGTTTCATATATAAGAGTTACCATGAAAGTGTTCATTTTACATGTGAAAAATAACACGTTCCCTTAGAAATAGAGAACTCTAGACATTTCATGGACCGATATATTTATTACCCGGGGGGGGGGGTACTCCCCTATATTCGCTATACGGGGACGTGCCGCCAGCTAGGGTATCGTTTTCAGCGATTTTACTCTGGAACTGGGTATCGATTTTAGCGGTTTTACTCTGGAACAGGGTATCGATTTCAACGAATTTTCTCTGGAACAGGGTCAGGGTTGAATTCCGGAATTATTGATGCTGGATAAAAATTCATGGGGTAAAAATTCGGTCTACACGCAAGCTAGTGCAGGATTTTACTCTGGAACAGGGTATCGTTTTCAGCGATTTTACTCTGGAACAGGGTATAGTTATCAGCGATTTCACTCTGGAACAGGGTCAGGGTTTTGAGGTCCCAGCGGCACACCCCCACACAAGTTTCGGGGGAGTACCCCCCCCCCGGGATTTATTATGAGCATTATTATTATGTCTCCTACTTTCACATTTCCATTTTCCATATAACTTGTGAGCAGCTTTCCGTCTCTCGATCCCTGAAGGGTGAATTTCCTAGTCCATTGATCATCTAGGCTGTTTCCTTGTATTGCCACAGCACAAATAACATACAAAACACCGAGATCAATCTGTAAGAATGGAGAAGTGTCGTCGGTCGACGCACACCACGACCCAGACTGCTGAAGTCTGCCATATTGTGGCATGTAGCTTATGTTGTAATGCGAGGAGGCGCTTAGTTGAGAATCCTTTATAATTCCAGTAGTCATTCCAAGAGGAGAATCGTCACAGCTAGCTGAAAATTTAAATAATAGTTGTGAAATCAATGAAACAAAAAGAAAAAAAAGTGATACCCAATATCCTGGAGTGGTGATTTCTACACTTTGTGTCAGTTTGAATACTTACGCCAACAGCCATAAAGTTCTATTCTTAAGCAGATACCATTGTTCCATGTTTGTCCAATAACTCGCACATGTTGAGCTTTCATTTCTTCATTGAACCAGTGAACGCGGACACTGTTGTTGTCTAGGTTACCGTTGAAGCTCTTAAAAAGAATATTTTAACAGATGAGCTAACTGGAAAGATCAAGCCATTTATAAATATATAATGCTTTTGATGACAATTTTTCTCGATTGTTCAAGTGCTCCATAAAAAATAAATAGCAGAAGCCAGTACATTCAGTTTTGGCAATAGAAAACACACGTTGTGCATCGTCACTAGAAAGTTCATTGACAGAAGGTGTCAAAGATCACAATAGGAAAACCATTACTCTTAAAATTGCGCAAATCTTTTTATATGATATGAACAAATATCTTAGACTAAAGCACTTTAAAGTTTAAAAACAATATGATATTTTTCATATCGATAAAAACAATATTTTCTATCCCTTGTGGTCAACATCATCTCAGACCTGTATTGCATGTAACATATTCGATAAATTTTGATTTCCCTTTCGTTGGACGCGGTGCCGTTTACTTTATAAATCGTTTAAAGGCACCTACCTTGGCACTTACCTTTATGGTAGACATTCCATCAGTAAAATCTTTCCAATTCTTTCCATCTACACTATATTGTATTGTAAAGCTAGTTAGCCAGGCACTGCTTGTTGAGTCTCCCTGTGTTGCTATACCGTTGATAGTTTTTATTTGACTCAGATCTACTTGAAGGTATTGTGTATTTGATGTTACTGAGCTGCACCAAGCCTTGGCGTTGTACAGACGGCCACGTGAAGCCGTATTTTGGTTACTCGATGCTGTCATCGATAAATCATCTACACCTCTGTTGAAAATGCCCAGAGGCTCCTGACATTCTTAAAAAAGCGCAAGTCAAAAGTTAAACTCGTACAGGAATATCCACACGAGACTTGTTGTTAAAGTTATCATTATTTTTTTTATCTTAAAAGTTTTAGTTTCGAACAATCATTATTTGAGGAAACGTTTTAATGACTGGGATACCTGTGCCATTGTGTTAGAAGCAAGATGACGGAATGGCGGATAAATAAAGCAAAATCAAACTCCAGTTCAATTAGTCAATTAACTGAACCATCCGATATAGTCGGACAATACATTGACTATTTTGGAAGATTTGTGGTAACTATTTTAAAAATTACCTTGTTGAGCTCCATAGAATTCAACACGTAGACATTTAAACCCTTGATATCCAGTTGGTTGAATTCTGATAAATCTGGCTTTTGGTGAGGGTATAACTAAGTTTTTTACATCTGAATTGGCATTGAAGTTACCACTAAAGTCCTAAAAATAAACCATTAGTAGGGTATTTTGATAGAGCTTTTTACCTTTTGTGAGACTAGAAGCAAAGAACATAGTAAAAGAATTGCTAAACACTGGACTTTGGTAGAAACTAAGTTTCCTATAAATTAAATCCAGCTGCAATTCAAGGTTAAGAATGTTTGCAAGTAGCCAAACCCTCGTGCAAGGATTGAAAAAGAAGTCTCCAGTTTTGGGCACTTGATTTTGATTGATTTCAAAACTAATTAGACTTACGATAATTTTCAATGTCATATTCAGCCGATTTACCTTAGCGGTTCCATTTTCTTTATAAACAGTCCATAATACGTTATCTAATGAATAATGCAGCTTGAACTTTGTTGTCCATTCTGAAACACCACCCTTTGGACTACCTCTCGTCACCACTCCACAAAGTCTGTACAACGAACCCAAATCGATTTGAAGGTAGTCACTTGCCAAGCTAGTTGTATGTGGTTTCCAGCAACTGCCGCTGTCCAGGCGAGATTTAGCAGGTCGGTGATCATTGTCAAGATATGATGTGGCGGTGAACAGCATATCACCGAATCGTGCTTTATTAGTGAGTCCAACACCGATGTTATAGCAATCTGCAGTAAGTGAGAGGTTTGTTTGTTTAGTCTTAGTCTTTACACAACGTGATAAACATTTACGGTCTGTCTTGATAATTACAAATATGGTCAAAACCGCGGCTTTACAACAAGGTTTTTTTAGTACAACACAACTTTCATGGAGTTTTAAATAAACACCCCTTTAAGGTTGACATGGTATCTATGACCACCATGCCTATGCGTGCTTTCATTTTCCTTGATTTACTTCATCGGAAGTAAGGATAAATGATAAATGATAGTGAGTTCAATTTAGTCAAGTTGACAGTACAATGTCATTTGAATCACATGGAATACCAATATTTGCCCTTTACAATCAAAAAATGATTCAAAATGGGATTGTCACGGAGGTTGTCAAGGAGACATATTACAATCTAGATATCTCCACAAAAAATTCGAATGGTAGTTGTAACATTTTCCACGCCATAATTACAGTGGCAGCATGGTCAAGATGTGGTCTCGCAGTCGGGTGTTTCAGCCTGATTATTACCAGCACATAAGAGTCCCTAAATTTCCTATCAATAGATCAAAGTGTATAATAAGAACTATGTACTACGAGGAATTTATTTACCTGTAGCTTTAGTAGCGACCTGTACCGATGACCAAAAACCTTTGCCAACCTGACTAACAGCTCTCAAGATAATAGTATAAGAAGTATTAGGGAATAGGCCGTCAAGATCATAACTACGAAGATTACCACTCAGCTTAAGATTGCTCTTCCCGTCTTTCCAAATACAATGCAAATCGTAATAAATAACTGGCCTTTCTCTAATAGTGGGAGAAGACTGGTTCCAGGTCAATTTCGCTTCATGTGCAAATATCTTTGTTGCGGTAAGATTCATTGGAGCATCCGGAACATCTGAAGAAAACACATTCTAAATATCGTGAGACATGGTTGTGGATGAACTTTAAAAGCAAGCAGCAGTAAATGACTAGCAGGCAAAATGACATCTGATCTGAAATTCTTTACGTCCCTATTTGCAAGCTGCAAATTAGTCTAAAAAAGAAACTAAGCTTGATGTTAGGAATTTTAGTAAATGCATAGGTGATATCATTGTATACCAAAAACCTTGGAATTTCAAAAAAATATAGGAAAACTAACTGTCGAAATGTATCTTTTTCTTATGGACGTATCGAAATGTCTTTTCCAACCTTTCATTTACGAATGTTTGTCAATAAAATTTTGGAAATTCGTGATTTTTCCCATGAACCCCTTCCCACAGGAAAAGCTATAGATTTCATTAAATCTTAGCTTTGATAAATATGTTCCATTTTGGAAAACCTATTTGATGGATTGATATAGAATATCTTACCCATTTCGGTGAATAGGACATGGTCTTTTGAAGACGGCCAACTTATGTTGCTCCGGTAATAAGCTTCACATGTAACTGTTAACGAGCAAGATGCTGCACGTGATGTAAAGTCCACTCGGATGCACTTCAATGGAAATTCACTTCCGACTGGGAAGCGAACCTTTAAAACCGATGTTAAGAATCCATCATTTGAGTAAAAACTTGATAATGACGTCATATCTGTGTTATTTAGTTGCCAGGTGATGGTGACGTATTGAAGAGCATATACTGAGCACGTGACGTTGATAGATGAATTAATTCCAGCAGTAAGGTTGCTGCTTGCTGATATGGAAGTGATGTAAGGTGCGGCGACTTAAAAAAATGTTACGAAATTGGTCATCGAAGATAATGTTGTAAAATGAGATAAATTTGTACACCGTTACAGGTAGGTGAAATAGTTAACTGACGTTTCGGATGTTTCGGCCTAATAGTGAGTTTATATTATGAATGGAGGAAAAAGTAGACCAGTAGGAGCAAGGTAAGCATGAAACGTCAATAAGTTATTTTACCTACTTTTACTACAATACTGTTTTATTTACAACTGTTTGTTTTAGAAACACCGACGCATCTCATACTAGTTTTGACGCATTTACATATCAAAGTGCTGACAGTAATGATTACTGCATGATCGTGATTTAGAGAAAGATTAAAGTCGTTCCACGGAAGAAAATAGCTGTGATTGGCGAATTGTTCTATTATGTGAGATAGCATCTTGCGATCGATTAAAGTCTCTTCCAAAAAACGGTTTACAAATTCGCTGCGTAGTATGAGCTCATATCACAAGGGGAGGTTTTTAAAAAAAATTGTACCTTGCTTACAGCCGTGGAAGTCAACTCTTACGCATATGGAGGTGCTCCAAGTTTTGGGTAAAAGACGTACATAACGAGTACCAATAGGTTTTGGTAGCCAGTGAGTTACTGGCTTGTTGTCATCAGTGTTACCTTGAAATCCCTTAAAAAATGCAGGTTAAAAAAATGTAAACATTAATCAAATTGGGCTGCAATAATAAGGACTAATTAGAAGGTATACATTAAGATGAAACTGAAGGATGACATATGTATTACGAACATCCGCACAAAGCGGTAAATCCTCTGGGTTAATTGCCCTATTTTATTATGACATCACAGTGTGTTTACTGCTCAGAAACAGTGGAAATTTGGAACCACTTACTATATTCTCTCTGAAAGTAAAAATTCAATGTATTATGTTTTGATATATGTCATTCATAAAAGTTTCCTCAAAAACTCAGAGAACGTGGATGCTAGCAATGTGCACTAAAAGTATCGTGTAAACATAAAGAAAGTATGTAAGGAAACTAAACCACTCTAAATAGAGCACCCCAAAACTGCACTAATGTAACAACTTAGAACAGTTTTTTTACAGGAAAAATTACAGGCTAGATGACCCATACACATGCCTTGTTCTTTTAACTAAAAATAGCACCTGTAACTTCAGCCATTTTTTTGTTGTGTACCCAAATCCTAGATCGTAACTTGTGACCCATTTAGACGATTGTCCTTGGGTTGTTATTCCAGTTACAGTGACTGATAGCTTGAAATCAACCTGGAAGAACTGGTTGACAGTAGTCACTGCGCACCATGATGACAAGCCATACAAGCGACCACTAGACGCTGAATGACTTGAGTCAGACTGGGATGAGGAGGATAGCTGGTTAATAGGATCTATGCTCATATATCGCTCCAGACCAAGGGATTTACTGCACTCTATTTAAAAATAGAATAGCCAACTTGAGAAAAAATTCAATAATTCATAAATATTTTAACTGACATTGATATAGTCATATTGAATGAATTTTCTGAATGACAGTGCTATATTTTTTTAGGAAAAAGAAAGAAAAAAAGACGTTTGAAACTGAAAAAAGGAGGACTTTAGGATTTTGCATTAACTCACCCTGTCGCACTCCAAAGAATTCCACCCTTAACTGTTTCCACCCTTTGTAAGCAACAGGATAAATCCTGACAATCTTCGCTGTTGGACACGCTGCTATCTTTTGCTTGACTACAGTTTCCTTGTCTACATTACCAGTGAATATCTAGAAACACAATAAATTCATTTCATCAAATATCGAACTTCGATGGTGTCTTGCAAGAGTGTTTTGTTATAAATAACATACCAATTCATCTTTGAATTTTTAACATTGCCTTACATTCGATCTTCTTGTTATTTTTCAGATGTAAGGCCTTTATAGGTTTCCATGAATCGTCACTAGTCCCCCGATTTTGACGGTCGTAAGCTACCGCCATTTTTAAAAGTCGTGGTTTTTCGTTTATTAAGAATTTAAAGAAGCTTGTGCAGTGAGAGAATTTACACAAGACGGAGAATAGTCGATGTTTTGAGGGCATATTTTAATGCCTGTGAATAGCAGCTCCTTATTGCGTAAATGTATCACGTAAATGTTTGAGCATATTGTCAACCAAATTGACAAATCGCAACATATCGCACCAGAAAAAATACATAGACAATGAAGGAAAACGTTCAATAAGAAACGCGATTAGGAACGAAAAAATGTTGTCTTCCCTCACGAATGAGAAGTGGAGCGCAAGATTTTCTAAGATTTTTTTTCTAATTACCTTGACTTTGTTGTTTTCTTTATACATGTCCCACGACGAACCATCCATTGATAAAGACAATTTGTACGATTTACACCATACATCAAGCGCAGTGGCTCCCTGAGTTGCGATTGCACATAAAACATATACATCCCCAAGATCTACTTGCAAATAATCGTTAGGGTCAGTGGCTGTCTGCGGAGCCCATGCGTATTGATTGTACAAACGAGCAAAGGAAAACGCGAGATGCTCGTGTGGATAAACAGTCGATCCTCCAAATCTATGATCCGGTACTCCGCCTAATGCACGAACTCCAATCGATGAATCCTCGCAAGCTTCAAGACAAGAATACAAATATCTATTGTAGATTGGAACCGAGCGGAGCTTCATTATTTGATTAGTGGATGAGATATCCTAATTAGTAATCAAAAAGTATCGAAGCTTCATGAGCACAATTTCCAAATTGAACGAGAAATCTTAAGATTACATGAAAACATTGCATCCAAAACTCCGCCCTTATTTTCTTCCGAAATACTTAGAAGCACGTTCCCTTTTCATCTCAAAAGATAAAAATGATTTTCCAAAAGGTGACATTATTGCACTCTATAGAATATATAGTAAAGAGCCACAAGAAATAAACAGAGATAAAATAAATTTCAGAGAACGTTGACTACTGAAGATAGCTTATTCCAAGACCGAAATGCATTGTTGGTCATTCTGTTGTCATTGAAAAGAGGTTTTTGTGGTGTTGCAAGCTCCGTTATGTCAACTTTAATGGAAAGCAATTTTGTTTAAACTGTCATTGTACAACGTGGAGTTTAACAGTAACAATGCATTGCGATCATCAAATGCAGTATACAGTAATCAACTTTTCCTGAACTGTATAATGAATACCTGTTTGCTTCGTTCCATATATCTCTGCTCTCATACAAGCAATTCCACGGTACTCTTTAGGTAAAAGTCTTAAATATCGTACAACAAACGAATCACGGATAAAATGCTTTGTGATGCTGTTTCTATCAGTATTCCCTGCAAAGATCTTAAAGCAATTTATATTGGTTTCGATAAATTACTTGATCAAAATAGAGGGCAAAGACTAAAAGCGTGAAAAAGTACTAAAGTGCTCATGAAGTAGCGCTAAATAGTCTACAATAGAAAACAAGGATATTTGCATAATTCATATTTTTTTTAGCACTATACAATTAGTGGTTCTCATAAACCAGCAAACTGTAGTGAAATAAAGTATCATACATCAAAAACCAAAGAGTACTATACCAAAGTGTATTTCACGGGTTTTGTTTTTTACTTATATTTCATGGTTTTAATGTTTTCACTTTATCAAGCGGAAATGGTCTTAATGGGATTGATATGACTTGCATTGGAAGTTACTAAATGTCCCAAGTTACTGATTTATATTCCTTTTTTTTTGTCCTAGTTTCTGTGATTTTGTTCTATTCAAGTGTGATTTCCGTTTTGATTGACGTTAAATAGGTGTATGAATTAGGGACTGTGCAATAATTACCAGGAAGGGGGGGCGTAAAACCAGACTTCTCAAGCAGAAAATTAGTTAGAACCACCCTCCGAAGCACAAGAAAATAGCTCTTACCCCCCCCTGCTATATTAGAAATAACTTCGAACTCCCCCCACCCCAACTATTAACCTTAGTTATAAAACAAGCACAAGCGAGTCGAGTCAACTGTAGCAACCCAAGATGAACCCAGATGCAAGAGGTGGCTTACTCATCTGGATCTAAGTGTAAAGAAAAAAAACTTTCAGGAGGAGTTGACAAGCAAATGTGGTGCCCTTGCTTCTTTCAAATAATTTTGTTCCTGGCAAGGTTTTCAAGGTCCAAAATAGGTTTATATGATCAAAAACGTCTTTGATATTACTTGTGCTTGTGATATCTAATAAATCATCAATATGTTTTTCAGCTTCTACATCTTCAATTTATGTGAAAACTACATCCTCAATTTATGTGACAAAATTGAAAAAATCAATAATAGTTGAAAAAAATTAATATCTTGGTCAATTTCAATCACACATCAAGGAGTCTTTGAATTTAGATTTCCATTAGTCAAGCGCGTAGCGTGGACTTAATTTTATGCACATGTCAGGGACCGCGACATATATTTTGGATCTGGGGGTCTAACGAACGCCAAAGGCGGGAGTATTAAGGGAGTCTTGAAATTTGAAAGAGATAACTCTTGGAAATGCGATTTCCAGCATTTTGAGAGACATCGAAAATTATGAAAATTTTGAATAAAACTTAAGGCCCCTCCTCTGTTAATTAGGTAATCTTACTTTCAGCCCCTCCCCCTATCTTGCCCTTAATTTTATGTACCCCCCCCCCCCCCCCCTGGTAATTATTGCACAGTCCCTTATGGCAGAAATTGTAGTGAGCTAGACAATATCCTTACTTTAGTTTTTCCATTTTCCTGATAGCTTGTGAATTGTTTTCCGTCTGTCGAGCCCTGAATTCTGAATGTCTTTGTCCATTGATCATCTAAGTTGTTCCCTTGTAATGCCACAGCACAAATAACATACAAAACACCGAGATCAATCTGTAAGAATGGAGAAATGTCGTCGGTCGACGCACACCACGATCCAGGCTGTTGAGGTCTTGCATTCTGTGGCATGTAACTGGTGTTGTAATAAGAGGAAGCGTTTAGCTGAGAGTCTTTGATGAATCCAGTTGCCATTCCAAGAGGTGAATCATCGCAGCTGGCTGAAAAAACAGCACATCAAAAGCATATAGCAATAGGACTCATGATCACTTTGGAGTTATGACCCGTCCATAATTCCGGCATCACTCGCCATGAGTAAGGGTTTGCCTATTCTTTCAATAAATCAAGGTGACGTGATTGAAACGAAAACCACTATCGTAAAGAGGTAGGCACGCGGAAGACTGGGAGGGGGAGGGGAAGAATTGCGTACGTCCGCATACGTCACTCTAAGATTTTTGCAAATTTAAAAATTCAGATCAGAAATATATAGTTTTCAAGCTGTTCACTGTGTAATACCCCCCAACAGCTCAATTCTCGCTACGCCCTTAATGAGGGCACAACATCCAGGGCTATATGTATATAGTCTGTAGCCAGACTGGATCCTCTACTGCATCTATCTAGTAGTTTTACTACTTACCCCAGCAGCCATAGAGTTCCATTCTTAGACAGATACCAGTTTTCCATGTTTGTGCATAAACTCGTACATATTGAGCTGCCATGGCTTTGTTAAACCAATGAACGCGAACATTGTTGCTGTCTAGGTTACCAGTAAAGTTCTTTGAAAGAATATATATATATATTAGTTTACGGTCAAATTTCACGGTTTGTATTTCTTTACTCTGACTAAGAAGCAACATCCAGAACTAATCCAGTGTATTATTATAGGGTCTGAATCGGGTTAACTGACTAGCGACAAACGGACAAAACAACATCTGACTAGCGACAAATTTCAACAAACAAAATTGCTGACTGGCGACATTTTTCGATTCATTGTTGCCTCTTGTTAGGTGCTAATGATGACATCTTTTGCATTGAAGACTACTAACACTCTAGAGCGGATTTCGTATGAATGTGCAACGGCACGGATCACAACACGGACACGGCACGGAACTGTCACGGAACCTCGCTTTCTAGGATTGCAAGTGAAAATAAAGATTTAACAATACATCACCGCTACGTTACGGTACGACCACAGCGCGAAAGTACCGCGTTTTTTGCACAGTAATACGAAATCCGCTCTATTGGGATAAACGGGGGAAGCAGTAGCTTTAACTTGAAAAGATATCAGTTTTTAAACAGGACATTCTGCATGTATTTAACAACGTCGGGAAGATGTTGCCCTTGGAATCTATTATAGTGACTTACTTTAAAAGGCATTTAGTGCACTTACCTTTATGGTAGACATTCCATCAGTAAAATCTTTCCAATTCTTTCCATTTACACTATATTGTATTGTAAAGCTAGTTAACCAGGCACTGCTTGTTGGGTCTCCCTGTGTTGCTATACCGTTGATAGTTTTTATTTGACTYAGATCTACTTGWAGGTATTGTGTATTTGATGTTACTGAGCTGCACCAAGCCTTGGCGTTGTACAGACGGCCACGTGAAGCGGTATTTTGGTTACTCGATGCTGTCATCGCTAAATCATCTACACCTCTATTGAAAATACCCAAAGATTCTTTGCAGGCTAAAAAGCAATGGGGATAATTTAGTAATAAATAAAATACTGGGACTGCATCTGTGCTTCAGAGACTTGCTACCATATTTTCAGATTAAAAAATAAAAAAAGTATTTACTAAAAGATAAATTTAAAATCCAACAATGATCTTTTTGGATGTTCGCGGGTAGATTTCCGATTACCTGATGGTTTTTATTTTCGTCTACCTGAGGTAGACGAGCCTCTGTCCACACCTAGCCGCGCGTGTTCTAATTTACAAATGTCTATTCTCCCCATTTGAAAATTTTCGGAAAAGGAGTGGAAATCCGCCAATGCGGTAAAAGAAAGTTCTTTTAAAACGGCCAACGTACGTCCCAGAACCTCAAAAACGAAAATTCGCCATCTTTGTTTTTTTACACACAATTTTTAAAGCAAATCAAAGGATCGCAAAGGAATCGGCAATGCAAAACTGTCAAGGAAAAATTGCTCTTATTATAAATTACCGAGCTACCTTGTTGTTTTCCATATAGCTCCACACGCAGGCATTTAAAGCCTTGATACCCCGTTGGCTGAATTCTGACAAATCTGGCTTTTGGCGAGACCACGAGTTTGTTCTTCGCGTCCGAGTTGCCATTAGTGTTACCAGTGAATTCCTGTGAAATCAATGAAAGACGATTAGCGGAGGTTTGCGTGTATGCATTTCTTCAGCTTATTTGAAGAGGAAATCGAATAGTCGCTTTCACGATCCACAAAATGTCTTTATAAACGTTTTTATTGCTCGCTAAATAGTGACGCATAGCCGGCCATTTTGTTTTGAATTTCCGTCTATGGCTTTTTTCATAAAAACGGATGAACGTCTTCATGTATATCCTTGACAAAAATGCATGTAGTCTCGCAGATTTTTAGAAGTAAACACAAAAACTACGCATGCTGAGTTTAGTTAACATTGATTAACGTTACGCTGTTTTTAAAATTACAGTATGCCATTTACTAACCATAGTGACACCATTCTCTTTATAAACAGTCCATACAACGTTATCTAATGAATAATGTAGCTTGTACTTTGTTGTCCATTCTGAAACACCACCCTTTGGACTACCTCTTGTCACCACGCCACAAAGTCTGTACAACGAACCCAAATCGATTTGAAGGTAGTCAGTTGCCAAGCTAGTTGTATTTGGTTTCCAGCAACTGCCGCTGTCCAGGCGAGATTGAACAGGTAGGTGATCATTGTCAAGATAGGATGTGGTAGTGATCAGCGCATCGCCGAATCGTGCTTTGTTGGTGAGCCCAATTTCAACGTTATAACAATCTGTGAAAGAAAAATAACAGTTCCTAGTTGGGTAGGCTCAAACGTTAAACTTCATTCTTCGAGGTCAATTCTCTCCAATTTCCTCTTAATATAATCAAGCTTTTAGAAGATTTCAAACACAAAGTATTTAGTGTAAAACGCTTATTTGAGGTAAAAAATGAATTTTCTAAAAACACAAGGAATTAGCTACAAAGGTGTAACTATTTTATGCGGAAAAAGTAAGGAGAAAGTGCGAATCAGGATTAGCCCAAAATAATTGCTTCGCATCTTAACTATAAAAATTACGCAGACTAGGACTGCATGTGGCTAGTGCTAGCTAGTAAAATACTTAGAGATCATGGATTTGATATATTCATGTGAGTTTTTGTTTTTCCAAAAAAAGTTTTTTATTTTCTGTCGAAACTTAGGTTCGTTGCGAATCAATAGAATAATGGGGTCCATGTGGCAAGGAATGACGTGTGAGCATGCGCAGAACGTTTCGCTTGCGTACTCGGTGTTTGTGGATTTATCGCTCATATAATACATCAAGATACATCAAAAATACAATGTCAAGACTGTAAAACAGTTAGAGTAATATAAGTAGTAAGGCATGCACTAGTAGATATCCAGTGTAATTTTTGAAATAGGCTGGTCCACCCAGCTATAAAACTTGTGTCGCTTTTAATAGCCAAATCCTGGTTAAATCAAGACTGCTTATACTAAAGGTTTTCTTTATCATGCTCAATTTCAAAAACTATAACACATCCGGTCTGTGATATTCTCGATGTTTATTCAGAATTAAAACTAATCTCAAATTAAATTATAGTCATTAGATCTATATGAGAGTTATGAATTCAAACTCTTTATTGGATTACCATATTTGGTCACCTGAACAATGATTTTAAAAAAGATCATTTGATCGTTACGGGTAATCATATCTCATTAGCCCGATCTTAGATATCAGGCTTGCAGTTGTATTCAGTGACACAGGTCAACTTGAAGTAGATTTTTGTCTACTCGAATATAACTTTGTTTAAATGGCTTATCCACTCGTATAGAGACATATCCCATTTGGAAACTAGACTATATCCTCTCGAAAAGAATATCTACTTGTCTAAACAATTGTCCAATATAAAAGAGTAATATCCAAAAAATTATATTTTGTCTTTTCAAATTTATTGAAACTTTCTAACGTACTTTGCTTTTATTTTTATTCTTCCATTTACTTTTTACTTTTTTTTACTCTTTCTTACTTCTTCTTCTTCTTAGCCATGCATCCTGAATCCTTCGACTCGAACAATAAAGCAGCGGATTTTTAGCGAAACATATATAGAGTGCAAACACTATAGCTGTGTGCAACACTTTAAATTAAACAATAGAAAACACTAGAACTGGCACAATGTAGTAGTTTTTAGTGGTATTATAATTTATGATGCACACTTTTAGTGGTTTAACAGACCTTTGTAATTCAGTTACAATATACTGTAGTCTCAGTGCGGCGTTATTGCGCTTTCACAGAACATAGAACATAATCACATTAAATGTTATGAATTCTAAGCATGGACTAGACTTATCAAAGCAGAAGTCATGGCATTTCGATTCAAATTTGATGCACAAAGTTACTCAGTGAGACAATTTAACTTTCTCTTTCAGTTTCGTGAAGTTTCAAAGTTTAGTCAATTGTTTATTGTTATAGTATATGTCTAGCATTATGTTGTCAAACAGATTTAATCTTAGATCCTGAGATGAATTCAATATTAGATTACACAATCCGATTGCAGTATATACGGCATCAATACGTACTGCATGAATTTATGATAAACCGTATGGTATAACTAAAAAAATACCCATCTTTATTCAATGATTTGACACTCGATTGTCGCTTTAATTTTGTTTATTTAAAAGAGGAAAACTTTTAATGTGTAACTGTTTCAAAGTGGAGTCAATTTAGCATCAAGAGGCGGGCTAGAGTCAATCCATTACGACCGACAAATCCAATTAGTTCACCGAGGAATTTAGTGTCGTATACTCTCTGTCTACCTTGTCAAAGAAGATATATCAGCTTCAAATATTTACATATAACAGTGCAAAGTATTTTTGAATAAGTCCTCAGCATGAAGCAGATCAAAATTGTACTGTACAAATTTGTATTGTATCATACATGTTACCATCATGTGGCCATGGCAAATCACCCAGCAATAACACACCTACAGCAAGTCTATACTGGTCAGGTCTACATGTTATCATTTGTTATTTCAAAAGTTTAAAAAACTCTCTAGAACTCACCTGAAATTACTGATGTCGGAAAAGCAGCAAAGAGCAGGGAAATGCAGAAGAAATAAAATTTAAAAGTCATTTTGTGATCACATGCCGGCTGAAACTTACTAAGCAGTGTAAGTCAATACTAATAGTGCTCGTGCTATCGTGTGACATCCCTGTAGTAAACTGTCAGCAACTGTCAATAACTAGAAACCTGTTGAAACGAAGTCTAAGAAACAAAATACACAGGAAAACATTTGCGGTATAAACATTTCTTGATTTTATCAAGACCTAGATTTTTCGAAGTAATCTTATATAAATTTTACTTAAAAAAATAAAAGAGGGCAAAAAAACGTAAAATAAGTAAAATAAAATAAGTAAATGAGTAAATACATGATTTACTTCTACAACTCTTTTCAAAAATTATGGGAATTTTATATATGTGAATATAGTCTTCACAGTTCCCCGCGACACCTTGAAAGGTAGCCGTCCCTTTATCGAATCGATAAAACCGTTGAGCGTGCAATGATAGATACCTGCGAATAATTGTAAAACTAGAAGGTTTCTATCATTTCACGCTCAACGGTTGTCTCGCTTGGATTAAAAAGCACGGCTACCTTTCAAGATGGCGCAGGTAACCGTGAAGAAGACAACCTCATTCCTAGTGCCCTCTCTGTAGCTATTTTCAAAATGGCGGACGCTACAAAGAAGACCCTGTCAAACACTGATTATCACGTGATCAAATACTCGAAAAAACATGTAGTATTTGATCACGTGTCAATCTGTTCAAAAATGCGTTCACAACGTAAACAACGTTTTAAATTCGGCTAGCTGTGGTGGGCCGACATTTTGGTTATATACTGAACAAATAGTTTTATCTTAATTTTTTATCTGATAATTTCAATCTCATCCGCAGTATAACAGTAAAAGGATTAGTTTCAGTTCATTCTAGGAGTCCTCAGGGATTCGTAGAAATTGTGAAGAAGAGAATGCGGCTGTAAAAGCGGCGAGTAGAAGAATTTCAAAACACTATAATTGTTTTTGCTTAAAAACTGTAGACTAAATATATCGGCCGGGTTTAATCAACTTACACCTTTGGCTGGCTTCT